AATTATCAATAAAATTTTACTCAATTATTTGTGTTTAATATTATACTAGACATATTATGAGCCTCATTCCAAGTATTATAACGAATTTAGCCTCCGTTTGGGAAGTGGGTTGGCTTTTTGGCTTTTTGGCTTTTTTGGCTATTTTAGCCTGGGCTAAAAAGTTTGGTTTGGGAAGGGCTTTTTGGCTTTTTGGCTTTTTTGATTTTTTTTGTGAGAGAAGAGTGTAATGATTATGGGTTGGATGTGATGTTTTGTTTGTTGTGGCTAAAATAGCATGTTTTGTCTTTTGTGGCTATTTTAGCCCCAACCCAACTTGCCAAACACCCAAGAGATTCATTTTTAAATACCACCTCCCCTAGGCCACTACTAGTCCCATTATCCAAAGCCTTTCATAATCCCATGAGACTCTTAATCCCATGGCCACTTTCCAAAATAAACATAATTTTTTGAATCTCACCCCACTACTAGTCCTGATCCCATCCTCCAATACTAGAAACAAACGAGACCTTTAAGAACTACCCACACTATTCAGGCATGATTGGTCTTCAATGGCAGAAAGTTGGAGAGAGAAGGTTGGGGGAATTTTTGATTAAACTCAAATTACATAATACGTATCAGATATATTCTATATATAATCCACTCCCATCTCTCAATAATATGGACTCTTGGATTTCTATCATTATCCTCTGAATAAGATAATCTAAATCTCATGAGTCTCCTAATGAGTCATGGGTCATACCACCATGACATCCAAACTCTGCCTGATTTCCAACAAAGTAAAATTTGTCTAAACAATAAGGTTGTATGGTCATTGATATTATTTTCCATTTTGTATTTTGCATTTCTAACACACTTTAATTGTCAGTATGAATCCGTCAAAATATTTAATTCATTCATTGATTTTGAAGGTAAATGGATTGGTCCCGCTAAAACAAAATTGATTTATATATATTTTTTTTTTCAAAACCAACACAAATCGACCCACACACAACCTTATTTAAAATGATGTTAATACCTTTCACTTAACAAATTCCTTTTATAAGAGATTGAAAAATAATAATAAAAATGTGTGAAATTTACAGTTGATTGAATTATAGGTGATAGCCAAATAATCATTGAGTTATGGTCCAGGGCCTTAATGCCTTCTTTTCTTCTTTTTTTCATTCTTTTTTTTTTTGTTAATTTTAATCTAGACCTTTTTAAAATAAAAAATAACAATAATCTAGTAAAAACACTCAAGTAATAATGAGAAAAATGATGCTTTTAATCACAACCGTTTTGATTTTGAGTGAATTAACAAAGACTCATCATTGGATAAGACCCCATTCGAGTTTTTCAAAAACACTTTTCAGAAAATTTTTATTTTCTTATTTTTCGTATTTTTTTTTAATTTCACTGAATTTTTTTAAATATTTTAAGTAATTTTTTTTTATTTTTTAGACATACTTAACATAAATATATCTAAAAAGTAAAAAAATTGTGAAAAAACCTTTTAAAAATTCACTAAATACCAAAAATATAACAAAAAAAATGAGAATTTAGTACATTTTTTTAATATTTTTATGTATTTATTAATTTTTTAAAATATTTTTTCACAAATTTTTTACTTTTAGATACATCTAAGTAAGGTGCATCTCAAAAAGTAAAAAAAAAATGTTTAAAATTTTAAAAATATTTACTAAAAACAAAAAAAAATATGAAAACTAAAAAACTCAATTTTTAAAAAACTTAATCCCAAATACTCAAACCAAACACACAGATTTGTTTCATCCGTTTCATTTTTCTTTGTCCTTGCTCCCAATTATAATCTAATTTATTTAATACAATAAGAATAAAATATTAAAACATTCATATATATAAATGTATTTATCTTTCTTTTCTTTTCATTATTTCTTTATCTCTTCTTTTTAATCTTTTTAGCTAGTATATCAATATTTATTTTTTTATATATTATATTGTGCTTGTTTGGTAGCACTTAATTTCAGCTTAAATCAACTTTTGGCTTAAAATAAGCCATTTTGGAATGTTTAGTTAAACTTATCAGAGATAGATTATAATTTAAATTAATTGATTTTGAACTAAAAGTTGTAAGCCAGGTCTAAGGTGTTTCGTTTTGTTTTTGTTTTTGTTTTTTTTTTTTCCAGCTTATGGTCGCAGTTGGTTGTAGAAGGGCGAAATAACTTAAATGCCCTTCCAAAACTTCAAAAAATACCAAAATACTAATATATAAACCTAACCATCAAACACTATTCACGTCCAGAGAGAGAGAGAGAGCGTGAGAGGTGATTTCAAGTGGCCTGAGAGGAGATTTCCAGCAATGATTTCCGGCTAGGATTTCGAGCTGCTCTCTCTTTATCTCTCTGGCTTTGGTTCTTCGCTATGTTCTCTCTTTGTCTCTTTTTCTTTGGCATTGGTTCGTCGCTCTGTTCTCTCTCTGTCACTTTCTTTCTAGCGTTGGTTCGTCACCATCACAATCTGAACCAACGTCGTCGTCACGATTTACATTGTTGTTGGTCTCTCTCTGTCTCTTTGTGCCTCCATCGTCGTTCCCTATCTCCCATCGCGATCGGCCATGCGAAGCGATCTCAAACCCTAGGGCAGCCACGTCGCTGCTGTGCCTATCGGAGCTTGGGTTTTCAGTGTTTTTTTTTTTTTTTTTCTAGAGGTTTGTCGTTGTGATTTACATTGTTGTTGGTCTCTCTCTTTTTGTGCCTCCGTCGTCGTCCCCCATCCCTCATCGCGATCGGCCATACAAGGCGATCTCAAACCCTAGCGCTGTCACATCGCCACTATACCTACCGGAGCTAGGGTTTTCAGTGTTTTTTAATAATAATAATAATTAAGCATTTTAGTATTAATTGATGCTAATTAATAATTTTAGTATTAATTGATGCTAATTAAGCCATTAATTGATACTAATTAATTTATAATGAAAAAATGAAATAATTTTATATTAATTGATACTATTAATGAAAATAATAATTTTTGTAATACTAATTATATTAAATTTTATTAATAAAATATTTTTTTTAAAATTAAAACTAAAAAAAATGACAAAATAATCATTTTTATATCATATAAAGGCAAAAAGGACAATTACACAGTAAAAAGTTATTTTACAACTTATCAACCAAACACTATTCTGCTACTTAAATCCATAATCTCACAGTTGCACTAAATAGATTAACAGCTTAGGTTCACAACTATAAGTTATAATTTGTTAAGTTGTAATTTATAATCATTTTTCCATAATTCTACCAAACAGAACCATTATCTCTTTGTCATTAGAACAAATTATTTCAACACTTTCTTTTGCTCTCACTTTACTGTGTCAATTTTCAATTTTCTTTGTCTCGACTGAACCCAGTGTCTATTAGCAATGATTCAGAATATTAATTTTAGTGTTCTAATAGAGCACTAATGGCATGCAATGAGCAAAAAAATAAAAATAAAAACAAACCAAGACCAAAACCAAAACATCACATCGCTGTTGGTGGAGTCCACTGCCAACTCATTCGATCTAGTTTTAGAACTCAAGAATTAAAGTTCCAAAACATTTTTCAGTGTCTATTGCTAGGGATGCATATACCCAATGACTTGCTAAACTTGCTTAAACCACCCGTTTGAAAACATACTTTTTTTTAATAATTTTTTGATTTTTTAGTTAAAATATGATATAAAAAAATTAATATATTTGGGATAATTTTTTAATTTTTTATAAAAAGATGTCTAAAAAGTAAAAAGAAATTTTTTTTTTAACTTTTTAATATAAATTATTAATTTTTGTAATAACTTTTTAATTTTTAAATTAAAAAATAATATTATCAAACGAAACCATAATTTATAAGATTTTGGATTATAATTTAGACAGCGAGGTTGGAAAAATTTTTAAATGCAATTATAATAATAGTCCTGATAGAGACCCAGTGAGGTGACCCCGCCAGAAGTCACCCCGAGAGGGGTTGTCACTCATTGCTATTACGAAAATGATCCAGAGCTCGAAACTCTACGGCTCGAAATTTTTTTCCCTTTTCAAGCAAAGGAGCTCTGCACAAACATAGGGAAGAGGAGAGGAGAAAGAGGGAGAGAAGAGAGAAAGAAGAGAAGAGAAGAGAAGAGAAAGAGGAGAAGGCAGCACCACCGCCGTCGCAGTCGCCTCGCCGCCGTCGTCGCAGCACCACCTCCTCACCTCCTCGCCGATCGTCAACCCCCTCCTGTCCAGTTCGTCGCAGCAGCTAGCCTGGCGCAGCCCTGCCTCCTCCTCCAGCCCGATTTTTATGGCCCCCTCCCCTCCCATGGTAAATGATCCAAAGTGTAAGGTTTATGTTCTGAAATTTATGTTTACATGATTCCTGTTATAATAGCAACGACTCTGCTACGTAGCTCGAAAAAAAAGAAAAAAAAAAAAAAACGACACCAAAACGACGTCGTTTTGGTGTCGAGCCAAATTCGTGCCAAAGAATTTCGAGCTACGTAGCAGAGTCGTTGCTATTATAACAGGAATCATGTAAACATAAATTTCAGAACATAAACCTTACACTTTGGATCATTTACCATGTGTATTATCAAGAAATCAAGACAAAATGACATACCTGAATCCATTGATGAACGGTTAAACGGAAGCGTGATTATCAATGAACTCTTTGTTATTGATTATGTTATTGCCTTCTAATCCTTTCCCCTTTGGTGCCTTATGTTTCTCCTTGAGAGGATTTAGAAATGGCCGGCATAGTATTCATCCATGAACACTGCGTGGGCCGGGCAATGGTTGATGGGCTCAAGCGACACTGCAAATAGCCCGAACCCAAATTCACCTAGATCGAAAAATGTTTTGTAGATACCATTACTCTGTTGGGTCCATATATGGCACGAACATCTCCGATATGTATCCTGTGTACGTTACGCTTTTATGTATTTTAGTAATTTTTGTAGTTTAATTTTGTGTATGTAGATTTATAAACATATCAAATGAAGTTTTTCATTGGGACCATAAGGTGTACCTGAGGGTCCATATAGCTAAGGTATCATCTCCTCGACTCTGATCAACGTATAACACTCCAACCCATTTTTCAAACTTATTATATGGAGTCACCCACACATTGTAGTTGGTGAAGGCCCCACGGATTTGGGGATAATCATCGTTTGACAAAATAGAACTTGTCGCCGATCCTGGAATTAGGCGATAACCAAGACGGTTGCCTAACTTAGTCTTCTTGTTTGGGTTCACCATTACCAACTCTTCTTGCGTTAGGCCAAGTTGAATCCTTGCATCAAGTTCGGTTTTCACTGTTTCGCTAATAATGGTCCAATAGCTCTTCCTTGGAGAGATGTTATTAGTCACCCATCGCGTCTCTAATTTGTTTTTCACAAAAGAATTGGCCTCACCATCCACATCTAGGTCAAGATAGTAGGTCAAGAAGTGATCATGGTACACTCCAACAGTGTTATATTATCAGTCAACAATGGGGGTGTTTGGTGCAGCTTTTTTAAGCTAACTTATGGCTTCTGGCTTTTAAAAAGTTATTTTGGACTGTTTGGTTAAACTTATTTCAAACAGCTTCTGATTCTAACAACTTATTTTAAGTCAAAAAAACTGATTCTGAGAAGCTGCTCACCCCTTGCTTCTGATTATCAGCTTCTGCTGTGGACATGTTAATTCACGGTTATACTCTTAGATTTTTTTATTTTTTATTTTTTTAAAAATAGAAAAACAAATACCTCAAACCAAACACACAGGTTTTGTTTCACCCGTTTCGTTTTTCTTTGTCCTTGCTCCAATTATAATCTAATTTATTTAATACAATAAGAATAAAATATTAAAACATTCATAATATAAAATGTATTTATCTTTCTTTTCTTTTCTTCTTTATCTCTTCTTTTTTTCTCTTCTTTTAATCTTTTTAGCTAGTATGTCAATATTTATTTTTTTTTATATATTATATGTGCTTGTTTGGTAGCACTTAATTTCAGCTTAAATCAACTTTTGGCTTAAAATAAGCCATTTTGAAATGTTTAGTTAAACTTATAAGAGATAGATTATAATTTAAATTAATTGATTTTGAACTAAAAGTTGTAAGCAAGGTCTAAGGTGTTTTTTTTTTTTTTCTTCTAGCTTATGCTCGCAGTTGGTTGTAGAAGGGTGAAATAACTTAAATGCCCTTCCAAAACTTCAAAAATTACCAAATATTGATATATAAACCTGACCATCAAACACTGTTCACGTCCGGAGAGAAAGAGAGAGTGTGAGAGGTGATTTCAAGTGGCCTGAGAGGAGATTTCCAGCAACGATTTCCGGCTAGGATTCCGAGCTGCTCTCTCTCTCTGGCTTTGGTTCTTCCCTCTGTTCTCTCTTTGTCTCTTTTCTTCGGCATTGGTTCGTCGCTCTGTTCTCTCTCTGTCTTTTCTTTCTTTAGCGTTGGTTCGTCACCATCACAATCTGAACCAACATCGTCGTCGCGATTTACATTGTTGTTGGTCTCTCTCTGTCTCTTTGTGCCTCGATCGTCGTTTCCATCGTTATCATCATCGCGATCGCCATGTGAGGCGATCTCAAACCCTAGGGTACAACGTCGCTGCTGTGCCTATCGGAGCTAGGGTTTTCAGTGTTTTTTTTTTTCTAGGGGTTTGTCGTTGTGATTTACATTGTTGTTGGTCTCTCTCTCTCTATGCCTCCGTCGTCGTCCCCATCCCTCATCGCGATCGGCCATACAAGGCGATCTCAAACCCTAGCGCTGCACATCGCCACTATATACTACCAGAGCTAGGGTTTTCATTGTTTTTTTTCCTAGGGTTTTCAGTGTTTTTTAATAAATATAATAATTAAGCATTTTAGTATTAATTGATGCTAATTAATAATAATATTGATACTAATTAATTTATAATGAAAAATGAAATAATTTTATATTATTGATATTATTAATGAAAATAATAATTTTTGTAATACTATTATATTAAATTTTATTAATAAAATATTTTTTTTAAATTAAAACTAAAAAAATGACAAAATAATCATTTTGATATCATATAAAGCGCAAAAGGGACAATTACATAGCAAAAGTTATTTTACAACTTATCAACCAAACACTATCTCTCACTTAAATCTATAATCCCACTGTTGCACTAAATAAATTAACAACTTAGGTCATAACTATAAGTTATAATTTATTAAGTTATAATTTATAATCTTTTTTCCATAATTTTAACCAAACTGAACCATTGTCTCTTTGTCATTAGAACAAATTATTTCAACACTTTCTTTTGCTCTGACTCTACTGTGTCAATTTTCAATTTTCTTTGCCTCGACTAAATCCAGTGTCTATTAGCAAGGATTCAGAATACTAATTTTAGTGTTAATTAGAGCACTAGTGGCATACAATGAAGCAAAAAAAAATAAAATAAACAGACCAAGACCAAAAACATCACATCGCTATGCGTGGAGCCACTGTCAAACTCATTCGATCTAGTTTTAGAACTCAAGAATTAGAGTTTTCAGTGTCTATTGCTAGGGATGCATATACCCAATGACTTGCTACACTTGCTTAAACCACCGGTTTTGAAAACATACTTTTTTAATAATTTTTTAATTTTTTTAGTTAAAATATGATATAAAAAAATTAATATGTTTAGGATGATTTTTTAATTTTTTTATGAAAAGATGTCTAAAATAAAAAGAAAAAGAAATTTTAACTTTTTTCATATAGATTATTAATTTTTTAAATTTTTTAATAATTTTTTAATTTTTAACAAAAAATAAATATTATCAAACGAAACCATAATTTATAAGACGGTAGTGCTACGTAGCTCGAAACCTGGCTCGACACCAAAACGACGTTGTTTTGGTTGTTGATTTTTTTTTTTTTTTTTCTTTTTTCCGTCTCTTTGTTGCAGAACGAAGAAGGAGATGAAGAAAAGGAGAAGAAGAGAAGGAGAAAAAGGGAGAGAGATAAGGGAGGAGGAGGAGGAGGGAGGGGAGGGGCCATAAAAATCTGCTGGAGAGGAGGTGGGGCGAGGCGGTGGCGACTCTCCACCTGCGACGATCGGCGAGGAGCAAAGGTGCTACGACGACGGCGGCGACGGTCTGAAGCTGCGACGATCGGGACGGCGAGGCGACGGCGGTGGTGCTGCGCGACGATCTCCTCCTTCCGTTCTTCCTCTCTCCTCTCCCTTCTTTTTCTCCTCTCCCTCTTTCGAGCCAATTCGAACCTCCCCTGTCGAGCTACGACTCATTTCCGTTTATAAGATTTTGGCTTATAATTTAGACAGCGAGGTTGGAAAAATTTTAATGTAATTATAATAACAGTCCTGATAGACCCAGCGAGGTGACCCGCCAGACCCAGTGAGGTGACCCCGCCAGAAGTCACCCACGGGCGCCGGGGAGGGGGGGGGGGGGTGCACATTTCTATTATAACAGGAATCAAACTTTAAAAGAGTGGGGCATTCCTATTATACAGGAATCAAACTTTAAAAGAGTGTTACAAAGCTAACATAACTCCATCTACCCTATCTAAATAACCAATGCATGTGTACATATAAATGTGAATAGGCGTAAACCATTACGTTTGTTTGGAAATAGATATTTTAAACTTTTTAGTTAAAAATAAAATGTAACAAAATTAATATATTTAAAGATAATTTTTTATTTTTTATTAAAAAAATATGTAAAAAGTAAAGAAATTTTTTTTTAATATTTTAATATAAGTTGTTGAATTTTAATTTTTTTTAATAATTTTAAATTTTTAAATTAAAAAATAATATTATAAACAAACCTTAATGCTATAATAACTTTTCAAATAAATAAAATGTTCGTAAATTCGACCTCACTTTTAAATCCAATTTCCCTTCCATCTGAAAACAACAAAAACCAATTGCTGTGATGGTTGGGTGTGAGTCCGAATTAAACCAGACCATCCAATCAAAAAACAGCCGTACACTTTAACGTTGTCCACGTGTCTGACACTTCATATAAAAAATTTTTTTACATACACACCTAATTTAATGTAGAGTTATTATCTAATATATTTATTATAATAATTAATTATTTTTCATTAAAATTATTAAAAAAATATAATTATTAATTTTTAACGATAATTTAAAAATTTTATTATAAAAATTATTAAAATAAATTTTAACTATAAAAAAATTATAACAAAAAAATTATTAATTATTAATTTTTAATGAAATATTAAAAAAAATAGTCATAAAAAAATGTTTTTAGTTATAATTTTATTAAAATTTAATTATTTAAATGTTTTTTTTTAATATTTTATAAAAATAAATAAATAAATAATTGACAAAAAAATAAAAATAAAAATATAAAAATGTATCATATAATTCAAAATAAATAAATAATATATGTATTCCAAATCAAATGGATGAAAATTAAGTTGAACGATAAAACCAATTTACCCATAAAAAACAACCCAATATTCCCCCAAGTGCTACTCGAAACCGTTTCCTCTCGCCGGTACTTCGCCGGAATCACACCTTTTTAACCCCCCCCCCCCCCTCTCTCTCTCTCTTCCGAGTTTATATTCTTC